CATTATGTTAGACTGCACAGGGAAGCCACTGAAATCCATAAACATCAACAGAACTTCACAAAAAAAGGCCTAAAACTAAACATGGCCTGGCTCCCAATACTGAAAAATACAGCCTGCAAAAGGTAAACAAACTCTATCAAGCCTCAAGGACCAGGGATCATTGCACACACACACACAAAAGAAAAGCTAATGACACCTATCAATCACAGTGACAGATAATCTCTCCCTCTCCCCCTCCCCCTCTTATCACAACAAAAACACGCTGATCACCCTATCTCCTGAAAAGGACAAAAGCTGTTCCCACAGCTATAAATACTCAACTATCCAAAAAACAGCAACAGAGCATGGACAGAGTTCCTACTCCAGTCCTCTGAAGATGCCGGCCACAGAGACCGGCGAAACATCAGGAAGAACAACCTTCAGAACACGGCCAAAGAGCCCGGAAAAACCCACAACAACCATCAGATCCCGGCCGAAAAAAGCCTTCGAGTCACAAAATGTTTCTCTTTCTTTGAACGACTTGTCTTATTCTGTCCAAACCGTCCTAAAATGTTTCTCTTTCCTTGAACGACTTGTCTTATTCTGTCCAAACCTGTACAGTATATATGTCAGTTTAAGGGGCATGATCCTGACCTGGAATTTTCAGTTGCCCCCACCTACCTAAAGAGAGTTCTAGAGCATTTCTGAGCCAGAACTTTTGTTTTTAGCAGTGTTCAGGCCCCTGTGGGCTGCATGTGACCCACACGCATCATTTTTGTCGCAGAGTTTTGAATTTCTGGTAAAATTCCTTTGTGCTATGCAGTAGAAATACTGAGACTCACAGAGGAGAATAGCTACAACTTCCCCAGATAGTCCACTCCTTTCTCATTAACTGGCACTTAAGGTCTCTATTACTCGTGCTGAGACATTTGTAGGAGAAAGAATAAACACATTTTATTACATACAGTTCTGAACAAATCAACAGCAAATTAAAAAAACACACTGCTTCCAACAGACTAAAGAGAGAGAAAGGAAACACTCAGCAGAGAGGTGGGCTTTCTTTGAATTCAGAGGTGGGAGGGAATGATTGGTTAGTTCTGGATTGATTGACAGTCATCCTAGCTCAGAAAGATCCCTCCCAGCCACAAATACATGAGGCAGCATGTGAGGTTGTAAAAACTCCCAACAGTTTTGTCCATCTCTGGCATACAGCCTTGGATTAACAAGGTCAAAAATTTGAGGAGCTTTGTATATGTGTTCCACTTGTGCATAACAAAAATGAAAGAAAGCTGTGTGGCTTCCTTCTCTGTCTGTCTGTGTTACAGAGGTGTGCCGTTTCCAGAAGCCTTGAAGCCATGAAGAAAAACCTCACTTGCTAGGGTGTGTGTAGAGTCTTGGAAAAAATCAAAACAGAGGCTGTCCTTTGGTATCAAACCCTGGAGGCCCACTGGTGCCAGTCCAGTCAGTGTTGGCTATACTTGACTAAATAGACCAGTGGCCTGAATCAGTATAATATAAGGCAGCTTCCCATGTCCCCAGTCAGTACCATTTAAATGTGTTTAAGTGTACAGGCTCCCAGATCTCTCACCACTTGCCTTGGAATAAAATTCCACCAAATAAAATTCCACCAAAACACCAAATTCTGTAAGAAATGAGATGGGACAGGTGCCAGCTGAAAATGTATTATCTCTGTTTCCTGCGTGGCATGCGGTCAGGAATGTGGTGGTCCCAGTGGCTCTCCCAAGCATTGCTGGACTATAATTCCCATCATTCCTGTCCATGGATCATGCTGGTTGAGAGTAATGGGAGCTGGAGTCTAATAACTTTTGGAAGCCCATATGTTCTTCACCCTACACCAGAGCTTGGAAATGACTTGCTACACCTCATAATTTATTTGCATTAAATTCCAATTTGCAATTTTATTTATTTTTAATAAATTCTCCCTTTAGGGTACCCAAGGCAGCTCACAACAACTGGAACTATACAGTGATCACAGTTTTTAAAACTACCATAAAATACTATATTAAAAAGCAAATGTGTTAGTATTGAAACCAAGATTAAAATGTATTTAAAGCCATTTAATAATTAAAGCATAACTTAAGTTACATGTGTTTAAGTGTACAGGCTCCCAGATCTCTCACCACTTGCCTTGGAATAAAATTCCACCAAAACACCAAATTCCGTAAGAAATGAAATGGGACAAGTGCCAGCTGAAAATGTATTATCTCTGTTTTCTGCGTGGCATGTGGTCAGGAATGTGGTGGTCCCAGTGGCTCTCCCAAGCATTGCTGGACTATAATTCCCATCATTCCTGTCCATGGATCATGCTGGTTGAGAGTAATGGGAGCTGGAGTCTAATAACTTTTGGAAGCCCATATGTTCTTCACCCTACACCAGAGCTTGGAAATGACTTGCTACACCTCATAATTTATTTGCATTAAATTCCAATTTGCAATTTTATTTATTTTTAATAAATTCTCCCTTTAGGGTACCCAAGGCAGCTCACAACAACTGGAACTATACAGTGATCACAGTTTTTAAAACTACCATAAAATACTATATTAAAAAGCAAATGTGTTAGTATTGAAACCAAGATTAAAATGTATTTAAAACCATTTAATAATTAAAGCATAACTTAAGTTACATCACAGTTGCAACAAACAAGGGATCTCTTTGCTCCTTTTGTGGTGCAGTTATGGTGTAAAATCTAACATGTGCCATTGATCAGTTTTGCCACTGATCCACTGCATCTTTCCTCTTTTGATTATGTTATAGCACTTTTGAAAGAGGTAGCCATATTAGTCTGTTGCTGCTAAAATAAGAAAGTGTTCTGTGGAACCTTTAAAACTAACAGATTTACTATGGCGTGGCCTTTTACTGTCACTTTTGTAGGTACAGCTGGTCTATAGCCTCCCTTTTAGGTCTGTCTTGTACCACAGATCAGTGGTTTGTGCTATGCAGCTGTACTTTTTAAAGTTACCTTTGTATAACGGAGAAGTTTATTATTTTTAATAATTGTAACTAGCACTAAGCTGGCTGGACAGCACAGTGGTTTAGATATCTGGCTGGAGAGCCAGAGGTTGGGTGTTCAATTCCCCACTGGGCCTCCTGTCAGAAGAGCCAGCCTGGGTAGCCTTGGGCAAGCTGCGCAGTCCCAGGGCAACCCCAGAAGGGAAGGGTAAGGCACGTTGGAGTGTTCTCTACCTGGAAAGCCCTAAAAAGAGAGAGGACAGACTTGACGACCCATGATGTGAATTAACTAGAACTAACCATTGATTGATTGATTGATTGATTGATTGATTGATTGCATTTATATTCTGTCCATCTAGACATAGTCTAATCTGGGCAGCTCACAACATACTGTACAAGATAAAAACAATAGGAGGACGTTTTATCATTTTGCACCAGTCGCTTTCCAGATTTTGGCTTGAACTTGGAAGACCGACAAGGTCCACGGCAGCGCTTAGCATTGAATGCTGTGAACTGACCCAGAGAGAGAGAGAGAGACCTTTGGGAGAAGAAAGGATGATGGTTTTTCTTGTCTTTTTCCACAGCACTCAGTCCTCTTGTCCGGTTCTAACCATTCTTTGTTTTCTCTTTTGCTGTCGTCGGCTCTGAGGAGCCACCGTTCCAAGGGTGGATTGTGCTTTGACAGCCTCTTAACTTTGGATCGGGCTCCCCTCACGTCGCCAGGGTTGGGAGGAGGGAAACCTTCCTGGCTCGCGCAGAAGTTGTTGTTGTTGTTTAGTCGTGTCCGACAGAGGTTGTTGTTGTTGTTTAGTCGTTTAGTTGTGTCCGACTCTTCGTGACCTCACAGACCAGAGCACGCCAGGCCCTCCTGTCTTCCACCGCCTCCCGGAGTTGGGTTCAAATTCATGTTGGTGGCTTCAATTACACTGCCCAGCAATCTCCTCCTCTGTCGTCCCCTTCTCCTCTTGCCTTCACACTTTCCCAACATCAGAGTCTTTTCCAGGGAGTCTTCTCTTCTCATGAGATGCCCAAAATATTGGAGCCTCAGCTTCAGGATCTGAAGCCAGAGGTTGGTGGACTACAACTCCCACAATGCCTTTAAGGTATTAGCCAGGCTGTTTTCTGGCTTCGAGGCGTGGACTCCAAAAGGTATCTGGAAGGCCAGTGAAACTGACCAACTCCAGTTTGCACAAACTGCTTCCCGCCCTTTTTTACATCTCTCCTGCACCCCATGCCTCCCAACTTTTTGCGCATCCTTGGCTGGAGATCCGGTTATAGGGGCAGAAGCGGGGAAGGCGCGGGCAGGGGGTGGGGGCATCATCCACCGGGAAGGGTTAAACCACCGAGCTTTCTGCGCCTAGAAAAGTGAAGCTGGTGTGGCTGCCTTTTGCCTCCCTCCATTGGGGTTTGCAGCGACTTCCTGTGGGCCTCCTCCTCTGTTGGAGGGAGTGGGGTGGGGTTCGGGTTGGGGGGCTGTCGGTGGGTTGCAGAGCCGATTCCTGGGACGGTGCATGTATGTGCGCGCGCAATGCAACGGGGCCAAAAAACAGGTAAATTAAGATCAAGAGGAAAGATGCAAGCTTGCCAGCAGAGACTCGCCAAAACCAGTTCAGGATCGGGGGGGGGTTTGCCTCCCTCCATTGGGGTTTGCAGCGACTTCCTGTGGGCCTCCTCCTCCGTTGGAGGGAGTGGGGTGGGGTTGGGGTTGGGGGGCTGTCGGTGGGTTGCAGAGCCGATTCCTGGGACGGTGCATGCATGTGCGCGCGCAATGCAACGGGGCCAAAGAACAGGTAAATTAAGATCGAGAGGAAAGATGCGAGCTTGCCGGCAGAGACCCTCCAAAACCAGTTCAGGATCGGGGAGGGGGGGGAGAGGGTGACGGTGGCCGTGTTGCTACCGTCCCTTTCCACCCCATTTGGGGTAGGCAGGACAAGGGCCAAACACCAAAGCCGTCGAAGGAAAACCAGGTAGAAGAAAGGAAAATGGGTGCTCGATCCTAAGGGACGCGTTCACACGTTCGTTGACTCGTGTAGTAGAATTTCAGCAGGCATGCATCCTTGGCGCCCCCTGTGGGGGAGGGAGGACAGGCGGAGAGAGCAATTGGAGGTCTCCCTTCTGCCCCACAGAAATCTGCTTCTGGGGCCCCCCACATGTTCTCCACTGCTGGGTGATATAAAGCAAGATGGAGTTATTTTGTTGTTGCTGTTAAAACAACTGCGAGTTTGAAATCCATGCCAAGTTAAGGCAGATCATCCTGGCCAGTCCTGCCGTTGGGTAAACAGTGGTAACCATCTCAAAAGCATCCGGTTTGTCATAAGATGGCAAGACATTCAAGATCATAAACTGTTATTATTGTATTTTTACTGTGAGTGGAGTTGAAATGATTGTGGGCTTTTCTGCAACAGGTGCTCAAAGAACATGTTTCTGGGCAGCCCTGCAAATCGGTGAATGGATCTTTCTGGTCTACTTGTGTTTAGTAGATGTGCTTGGATTATTGACTGATAAATATGCAGAGATGAGAAATAACAAGATAAAATAATTTAGTTACTTCTAAGAAGGTATTCCTTTGGGTAACGGGCATAGCAGAGTTACATTTCAGGAGTAACAGAATGACTGGGCACACCATTCACTATTTTGGAGGAATAAGTTAATTTTAAGGGCATTTTCAGAGCCTTTAGAGGCATTTTGACAGCAGGCTGTCACACCGCACACAACTTTTTTAAGCAACACAGTGTGAGTGAATAACATACACAGTACAGGAAGTGAATGGAGGCGGAAAGAAAAGATCAGCAAAATTTATCTGCACAGGTTAACCCTGCCCTGTTAAAGGTAAAAGGATTCAGTTTTTTCAGCTCATGAAAACTGAGCAAATTATGATAAGTCTTTTCTGTTAATGGTCCAGTTTTTAGCTAAGAGGAGAACCCTGGCTTTTGAGTTGTAAGGATAAAGTAAATTTGTGAATGTGAAGCCACAATCTCCACCATGATCAGTTTATACGAAATAATTCACCCCATACCTAGAAATAACTTTCCAAATTATCTCTCCATCAACATTTTTAAAAAAAGCTAGAATCAAATTTTTAGGCATGAGGCTACATTAAATTTTCATGGTATTATCCAGATTTTGCTCTAGCCATCAGATTTTACCTCAGAGCAAATTTATTTTTTCTAAGTGCATGTTGAATAAATACCACTGAATGTCCTATTTATGCTTTATGCCCCCTTTTCACTTTTAAGAAATCTCCATGTCTCTCCACCTCTCCTGTATGCAAAGGGAGAGATTGACCCAAAGCATAATCCAAATATTTGAAAATTAAAAATATGGGACCAGCCTTTTTTTCTGGAGAAATTCTAAATTATAGTAGTGAGGGCTGTGATGGAAATTTACTTATGCTAATGCATATTCTTCACAAAAACTCACCCTCTGATGTCCCTCTTGCAATTTGGACACATCTTTCTAGAGGGATCAGAGAGAAAGAGAGAACATGGGAATTAACGAGCTAGATTTTTGCTTTCTGCAAGCCAAGTGACACCCATAAACTACATTGTGATAACAGTAAACCTGAGTCAGTGCAGTGTGCATAAAGAACCATAATAATATTAAAAAGAAAGCAACTTGAATACAAATCATTGATAAAGTAACCTCTGAGGCTACTTTAACAATAAATTCCTAAATCATTGGGATAAATTCACAAGTTATTGTCATCATCCTTGTCCTTTTCAGAGCAGGAGGTGCTACAAGGAAGGAAAATGGACGTACAGAATGCCAAAGGGTTGGAAACTGGAAAGAGCTTGATGGTAAGAGGGGGGGAAATTCACACCGATCCTGATAGGATGATCAAAGAGTTTGTGCCTCAGCCAGTCCTGCAGCATATGAAGCAAGAACCAGAGGACCGGCCCCAGCCATGCTGGGAAACTCAGTGGAAGGAGTATCTGAAGACGGTGGCGTCTCCACTGGCATCTCAGGGCCCGTCAGAAGAAGATTCGAAGGAATTCCAGGCTTCCTTTAAGGCAGGAGATCCAGGCACAGGAGAGACGGTGGACCAAAACTTGCTAGACTTCACCGAGTGCCAAGAAGCTTCAAGGACCCTAAATTCTTTCATAAAAGTGAAGGAAGAAGTTGAGAATGATGGCACGGTCATACAGTTCTGCTACCAGCAGGCTGAGGAGTCTCGAGAGGTAATAGCCGGCTTTTTCCTGGCTACGAATCTGAAGCAGAAGTCAATAAAATGTCCTCGGTTAAGTCCGCTAATCCCTGCCTGGGGCTGTCCAAAGATAATCCATATATGTAGATGTTTCACCATACACCACTGCTGAATTTCACTTTTTCCTGTACAGCTCAGTGGTTTAAGGCAGGGGTCCCCAACCCCCGGTCCACAGATTGGTCCCTATCCATGACGTGGCCTTGCCAGGACTGGGCCACGGAGACAGATCTGCTCTCGCCCCACATGTGCAAACCCATGCACGCCCCCTCCCGCGCACACACGGCCCCTCCTGTGGCCCCTCCCATGCACACATGGCCCCTCCCATACACCCACAGATGGCCCCCCCACGCTAAACCGGTCCGTGGAGGCAAAAAGGTTGGAGACCACTAGTTTAAGGAGGAACAAGAGGTTGGGAGTTCGATTCCCCATTGTGCTTCCTTAACACGAGCTGGGCTTGATGATCCATAGGGTCCCTTCCAGCTCTGCAGTTCTATGATGATGATGATGATGATGATGATGACGACGATTATTATTATTATTATTATTATTATTATTATTATTATTATTATTATTATTATTATTATTATTATTATTATCTTTTTATGATCTTTTTTGTATATTATCTGTTTATGACCTTTTTTGCAGTCGAACTGTATGATATAACCATTGTCCTCTGATTTTCAGCCGCAGTTGCCTTCTGAACGATGCACCCCCAGTCCTTCTGAATCGGAACCAGTGCTACTGAACATAGTGAAAGTAGAGTTTCCCATGAAGGCCGAGCAAGAAGATGATGAGGAAGCCAGCTTGGTTGGTAAGAGTTACGGCTCGGAAGCTTTGAGGCAAGGAATGCTCGACTTCTTAGGGTTGTCGACCAGCACTGGAACCTTAGAACACTTTCAGGGACTTCACCGATTCTGGCTGTCTTGTTACCAAAACCGTCACTGAAATGCGGTGGCCGGTTCCAATGTTCTCCTGCGATGGTTATCATTGGAACTTCTTGGAAATTCGGTGAGTCCTCTGGAGAAACCCAGAGGTTCTTGGACTACAACACCCAGAAATCCTGACCAACACAGCTGGTGGTGAAGACATCTGGGAGTTTTAGTCCAAGGAACACCCAAGGACCCAAGGTTGGGAACTACTGGTCTAAGGTAATTTTGGTGGACCCCTAGAGCCTGTGAGATTGCTGAGAAGGAAGCTGGCTTCCCTTCCTGAAGACACAGGAAGAGAAAGAAGAAGAGGGAGGGAGGGAGTCACCATGATCTCAGATCTGTGAAAGGCTGGCTGCTCATTCTGCAGTGCCCGGGCTGGGAGTCATGGGGACTGCAGAAGAGGACGGGGGCCACATGTGGGCTACCCCTGTTTGAAACATTGTAGAGGTGGTTCTCTTGGAGACTCATCACAGACTCATCAAACCTGGTGAGAAGAAGTTGCATGGAAGGTTCCGCCTCTTTTTAAGGGCAAAGGGCAGAGGATGCCCAGGAGCAGAGAATGCCGTATTTCACCCCAGTCGGAAATTATCTACCTGAAGCCTCTTAATGTGCTGATAATAACCTCGGTTATTTAAGAGTTTCACTGTGCCAGGGATTATGTGTGGTGCTTCTGTGCACCTAAAAAGTGGCTGTGAAAGTCCGTTTGCTAGTACAGAAGAGAGGGAACGGTCATCCTTGACCATTGTCCACACAGGCAAGAGTTTACTGGAAGTTGTTGCCCAACAGCCTCTGGAGAGCTTCCAAAATTATTATAGAAAGAAAAACCAGAAAATCTACCCTTTCAAACCATTCAGAGAAATAAGAGAGGGATGTTTGCCATTGCTGTAGTTCTGGGGATTTTTTTTGGAGGGGGGAGTTGTTTTTATTATCTTTGAGTCTATGTTGTGGGTGGGTTATTTATTTTTATTTTCCTTATTGCTGTTAGTCGCCCAGAGTAGGGCTCTGTTACTTAGATATGGAGGGGTATAAATACAATCAATCAATCAATCAATCAATCAATCAATCAATCATTCAATCAATCAATCAATCAATCAATCAATCAATCAATCAATCAATCAATGTTTATTGAATAAAATGCACAAATAAGATATCATGTTTTTTTCTCCCCCAGAAAGGGAGAATGAGGAGGTGCCCTTTCAGCTGGAAAAACCCAGACATGTAGCACTCAGATGTTCCATGAACAGAGGTGAGGACAGACCTTTCCAGAATGTAGGAGTGAAAGAGACGAGTGAAACCCAGAAGCGATCAGAAAGTAGCTGTGAAATGTATGTTGAGGAGACAGCGAAAGAAGCCTTTATTTGTGAAAGTGCTGACGAAAAGCTGCCGGAAGAGGCCTTCCAAACAAAAATTCCTGGGCGGGACAAAGAAGTGAGAGTTACCAAATGTAGCAAAAGCCTCCCTCATAGCACTGACTTGTCTGGATGTCCTGAAATACAGGCAGAAGGAACGCAGTGCGAAGCTACAGATGGCGGGAACAGCTTCCACCAGAATGCGCTCCCGGTGGTACTGCCGGTCACCCACGCCGGAGTAAAGCCGTACAAGTGCCCAATTTGTGGAGAAGGCTTTGTGGAGAGAAGAGACCTGACGAAACATCGAGTCGTCCATGCCGACGAGCGCCCGTACGAATGCTCTCAGTGTGGGAAATGCTTCAACAGTAACTCTCACCTCAGAGCCCACATGATGATACATACTGGGGAGAAGCCTTTCGAGTGCGAGTACTGCCCGAAACGTTTCAATACGAGCTCCCACGTGAAAAGGCACGAGAGGGTGCACACTGGGGAAAGCCCTTTCTCCTGTTCCGAGTGTGGGAAAAGCTTCACTCAGAAATCCTCTCTCGTGAAACACCAAAGAACCCACACGGGAGAGAAACCCTACGTCTGCCCCAAATGCGGGAAAAGCTACCGGGATAGCTCCTGCCTTTCGAGGCATATTAGGGCCCACACGGGAGAGAAACCGTTCAAGTGTTCCTGGTGCGAGAACCGGTTTGTTCAGAAATCGGACTTGATCCGACATGAGGGGACACACACTGGGGAGAAGCCGTACGAATGCTTGGTGTGTGGCAAAGCCTTCAGCCAGAAAGGGTCCCTCGTGAAACACGAGGGGATGCATACGGGCAAGAATCTGTATGAATGCGACGACTGCGGGAAAAGCTTCAGTCGGAGGCAGTCCCTCTTCCGACACACGAGCGTCCATGCGGGAGAGAAGCCGTACGAATGCTCGGTGTGCGGAAAGGGCTTCAGCACTGGGGCCCACCTGGCCATCCATGAAAGGGTACATACAGGCGAGAAACCATACACATGTTCCGAGTGCGGGAAAAGCTTCTGCCGTAAGCCGTCGCTCGTGACACACCAGAGAACCCACACATGAAAGAAGGCTGTTCAGTATAAACAGCAAAGCTTCTGTCGAACTGTAGCATTTATAAAAGTAGATACTGTATAGGTAAAGGTTCCCCTTGACATTTAGTCCAGTCATGTCTGACTCTAGGGGGTGGTGCTCATCCCCATCTCCAAGCCATAGAGCCAGCGTTTTTGTCTGTAGACAGTTTCTGTGGTCACGTGGCCAGTGCGACTAGACACGGAACACCATTACCTTCCCACTGAGGTGGTACCTATTTATCTACTCGCATTTGCATGCTTTTGAACCCCTAGGTAGGCAGGAGCTGGGACAAGCGACAGGAGCTCACTCCGTTGCGTAGATTCGATCTTACGACTCCTGGTCTTGTGACCTTGCAGCACAGAGGCTTCTGCGGTTTAACCAGCAGTGCCACCATGTCTCTACATACTTGCCTGGATCAATTTCAATTTTTCATTGGATATAGATATCCCCGGATCAGTTTCTCAAACCAATTTGGGACCTAATTTACTGCCCTATTCGGATTCAGTGAGTAGTTTCTACAGCTTTAAAGCCAGTGCCCGCTTTTGAGTTGTTTCAAAAGCAGTGATTTGTCGAATGGCCTGTACTTTTCACAGCTTGAAAGGGGGAGGAGAAGTGAACAACCAGAAATATTTGAAACCAGGAGGCAGGGTGGATTTGATTTAGATCACAATTTGAGTTTTTAAAAAAATGAATCTTTACTATTAAAATTTTAAAAAAATCAATATTTAAAATTTGTAGGCTTTGACCTACAAAACCCTAAATGGGTTTTGTAGGACCTCAGTACAGTGGTGCCTCGCTTAACGAGTGCCTCGCTGAGCGATGAAATCGCTTAACGAGGCACTCTGGACCATCGCTGGAGCATTCGCTCAGCGATGGCCCCTATGGGGTTTTTTCGCTTTGCGAAGATCGCTAAGCGATTCGCTTAGCGATCTTCGCATAACGAAGCCGGGGAGAACAGCTGATCGGCGGTTCCAAAATGGCCGCCGGAAGGTCCGCGCCGCATTTTCACGCCCTGCCCTCGCTTAACGAGGGCGCGAAAATGGCGGCGCTATGAAGAAACATCGCTGAACGGTGAGTTTTCAAGCCATAGGAACGCATTGAACAAAGTTCAATGCGTTTCTATGGCTTTTTTTATTCCGTTTAACGATGTTTCGCTATAGCGAAGGTTAATCCGGAACGGATTAACCTCGCTATGCGAGGCACCACTGTACGTGACGGAACACCTCTTGCCAAGGTAGGCTGTCCCTCCTGCCCATTCATCTCAGGCCGAGAGACTGAGGATGCTGACCCCAAGAGAGACACGGAAGGAAAACAGCTAAGAAGGAACAGAGGCTTCTCAGTGGTTGCTCCCCCTGCTCTGGAATGAAACCGCTACCCAAAATCCACCTGTCCCCTTCTCTTGCGGCTTTTAAGAAACCTTTAGCAACCTTTCTATCTCAGCAGACTTTCCAAGTCATACCATCTTAAAACTCCGCTGAGATTATACGATATGTTTAACATCTACAGCCACCCACCCGCCTGATTTTTATCTAATTTTCATGTGTTGGTGGTTCGAATTATATGTTTAATACTTACTGTTGTCCACTGGCCAGAGTGACTCTTATACTATCACCCAGAGTGATAGGGAGTTTAGAAGATTAAAAAAATTAATTCATAAATTTAAATCAATTTGATTTTTTTTAAAAAAAATCATTTATTTTTATCCACTCTGTTAGGAGGATGATGTTTGGTTTAACAGGGGTCCCCCCCCCCAATTATGGGCTTGGACTTCTCAACAAATCTGTTCATTATCATCATCATCATGTGCCAAATTTCCACTTATGGCAACCCTTTTCAGTGTTTTCCAGGTAGAGAATACTCAGACGTGGCTTACCCTTTCCTTCCTCTAGGGGGAGCCTTCACACTGTGCAGCTTGCCCAAGGCTACATAGGCTGGCTTTTCTCACACTGCAAGCTTGCCCAAGGCTACATAGGCTGGCTCTTTTCTCTTTTGAGGCATAGTGTGGAATCAAATTCTAGCTCCACAGTTAAGAGACCTAAACCACTGATCTATCCAGCCCGGAGGCATAATGTGGAATCAAATTCTAGCTCCACAGCCAAGAGACCTAAACCACTGATCTATCTAGCCAGCTATAATCTCTTAATTGATATTCATTGCAATCTTTCCAAAATTTAAATTTAGTCAATTTATCATTGTCATAAATTAGTGGATGACGTGGGTGGGGGGAGTCGATGAGGATGGAGAAGAAAATAATTTATTTTGCCAGTCTTTCCAAATTCCTTCTGCATTCCAAAGGAATGGGTTGGTTCTCTGTGGCATAAAATCCTGCGTAGTGCCAAAACCAGTCTCTAAAAGTACTTTAAGTTCTGTGGCATAAAATCCTGTGTAGTGCCAAAACCAGTCTCTAAAAGTACTTTAAGCCTTTGTTTCCCACACACACGTTTATTTTACTTTGACTGATCAGCAGTTACCGTTTGTACTTTTTATTTCTCACTATGTGACTGAAATATTCTTATCATGTTCCTTGTATCTTGAATATGCCTGCTAAATACTTTATCTTTTTATATATTAAAGGACTTTGAATCATCTCTAGGCTTTCTCTTCTTGTATATTGTTTGGATCCCCATTTTATTTTGGCTTTCCTAATATTGTTTCACGTGTTCTTGTGTCATTTTCCGTACTTGGCGCCACGTTTATTTCTCAGTTTTTGCCTTTTGCATTGGCTCTAACATTTCTTCTTAATCCACTTCTTTTTAAACTTAATTTCTACTTTACAGAGTTGCTGTTGATCACATCTACTAATACCTTTGTCAGTTAAGAGCAAGCAGCTTGTATATTTGAGCCATCTGTGTGATCTTATTGATGTCTTCCTGAATTCCTCCCTTAATAACAACATACAGTGGATCCTTGACTTACAGACTGCTTGACTTACAGACTTTTTGAGTTACAGACTTCTCTGGCTGCAAAATGTAGGTTTGACTTGCAGACTGAGATTTGACTTACAGACCAGAAAAAAACCAAAATGGAACAAAAACAGCCTGTTACGGGATTAATCGGTTTTCAATGCACTGTAGGTCAATGGAGACTTGACTTACAGACTTTTTGACTTGAGAACCGCCTTCCAATACGGATTAAGTTCTCAAGTCAAGACCCCACTGTATACAATTGAATGGTTTAGCTATTCAAATTCTATAGTTTTTTTCTCTTTTTGTTTTCTTTCAGGTGAACTTCTGAAATAACAAGATCAGAGTTTGAATTTGCATTGGTGATAGGCTAAAATTTTACCAACTCAATGCTGATTTGATAATTCTGATTAACTAGAATATAATCTATCAGGTTACTTACACTGCTGTTAGTAGCATCTTGGGGGACACTGAAGGAGCATTACTGATCCATATGAAGACTGAGAACACAGTAAGGTTGTCCCCTGAACAATGACAGCATCTGGTTGGCTGTTCCTTGCGTTCGGGAAGCAACACTGGATTTCTTTCAGCATGACATTAAACCATCTTGAGGGTGTTTCTATGCATACTCTCTCTTTAGTGGTAATTTGAGTTTGGATAGTCTAAGTTGGTGACTAAAAATTCTCTCCCCACACCAACACTGTATTCTTTGTACTACATGTTCTTTTCTTCTTGCTCCTCATTTTTGACAAAATCTCTATAGACACTATCCCCCTTTCTAAGCACTAAAATCTCCCATTATGAAATTTAGGAGTAATTTTTTTCTCATGCAGTAGGACCCACATCATGTGGATGCTGGAAAATGTGCATTATAGCAAACTCTATACATAGAGTTTGTATAACTCTATACATAGAGTTTGCTATAAAACTCTATACATAGAGTTTGCTATAATGCACATATTATATATGTGGGACAGGAAGCAACAGAACTGGATATGGAACAACTGATTGGTTCAAAATTGGGAAAGGAGTACGACAAGGCTGAATATTGTCCCCTGGCTTATTTAACTTATATGCAGAATACATCATGCGAAAGGCAGGACTGGAGGAATCTCAAGACGGAATTAAGATTGCCGGAAGAAATATCAACAACCTCCGATATGCAGATGATATCACTCTGATGGCAGAAAGTGAGGAGGAATTAAGGAACCTCGTAATGAGGGTGAAAGAGGAGAGCACAAAAAATGGTCTGAAGCTCAACATCAAAAAAACTAAGATCGTGGCCACTTCCTGGCAAATAGAAGGGGAAGGTATGGAGGCAGTGACAGATTTTATTTTCTTGGGCTCCATGATCACTGCAGATGGTGACAGCAGCCACGAAATTAAAAGACGCCTGCTTCATGGGAGGAAAGCGATGACAAACCTAGACAGCATCTTAAAAAGCAGAGACATCACCTTGCAAACAAAGGTCTGCATAGTCAAAGCTGTTTTTTTTCGGTAGCGACTTATGGAAGTGAGAACTCGGCCATAAACAAGACTGACTGCCGAAAAAGTAATGCTTTTGAACTGTGGTGCTGGAGGAGACTCTTGAGAGGCCCCTGGACAGCAAGGAGAACAAACCTATCTGTTCTGAAGGAAATCAACCCTGAGTGCTCACTGGAAGGACAGATCCTGAAGCTGAGGCTCCAACACTTTGGCCATCTCATGAGAAGAGAAGATTCCCTGCAAAAACCCCTGATGTTGGGAAAGTGTGAAGGCAAGAGGAGAAGAGGACGATAGAGGACGAGATGGTTGGACAGTGTCACCGAAGCGACCAACATGAATTTGACCCAACTCCGGGAGGCAGTGGAAGACAGGAGGGCCTGGCGTGCTCTGGTCCATGGGGTCACAAAGAGTTGGACACGACTAAACAACAAATACTGTACATACAGTATTATGGTCTCTGGCTCCCACTTGTGGTCAGTTCTGGTACCTTCACGGTCTGAAATCTATTTCAATAATTTTGGTCCTTGAACTCTCCTTATTGATAGTTACAAGGATTCTTCACCAATGTTGAGAGGTAGTAATCAAGAGGGCTATTTCCAACAAAACTAAAAATGTCTCTATTAGGATTTATTTTATTTTCCTGATCAAGGTGAAGGTTTTACAAATATAGAATGTGTGTGTGTGTGTGAGTATGTGAGATAATCGCCCCTCTACAGTGGCAGAGGAGTGAC